TGGATGAGCTCAGTGTAGAGAGCGGCTCTTTGATAGGCTGACGGGGAGCTGCAGCCTTTCGTTGGGGAGCTAGTTAACCTGCGGCGCCCCAGCATCTGGTCTTGTTTTGCTTCAACCCGACCTTTTGTCCATCTCTGCTTCGTACAGCGTTCACTCAGCTCACTCAACTGGCTCTGTGAGACTGCACAAATGAGAAAATACCAATTTTCAGCAAATATCAATTTACTTCCCCTATTCTGCACATGTCTCAGAGGAAATTTACACCAGAATAAATGACTGTGGTTTATGGGTTTCTGAGCACAGCAGCTAAACAGAGCTGTGGAGAATATAGTGGCTGCAACTATAAGACCTGAGTTGCAAAGGAGAGAAATCATTTTCTCTTTTTTACTGACATCTAAATATCACAGCAAGCCTAAGATATTAAAAGAAACAATTGTTAACGGCAGATGAAAGTGACTTTTCTCAGATGTTATTGACCCTGCTCTTTTCCTCTTCTTCTTGTATTAAGGTGAAAGTAATGAAGTTCAGCAACTGCTTAGCTTTGAATGTAGTTATTTAGATGAAAACTCTGTGACAGGATGCAATGTCCTCAAATGTTTTCCTCCATGTTTTTGTTAAGGTGAGACCCGAATGAAGAGCACGCTCTAAATCACTCAAACAGACTCACAGTGATGGTTTTCAGGCCTGCTTTTGAGTGGCGTTATTCTTTGACTTTGTTTCTCATATATCTGAGGTTCCTCATTAGTGTTCAAGTCAAAGTGACCTTTTGGTTTAGCCTCCCAGAAAGTCTCCTGTAACTTTTAATGTTTGATCTATCTGTCTTAATCTGAAGAGTATGTTGAGGTACAGAGAGCAGAGATAGTCAGTGAAGCACTGTACAGCTCTATGACCTGCAGGTTTCAAGAGAAAAAGGAAAGACTGACTGCTGCAGTGCTGAAACTGGAAAAAGATAAGCTGTGTGGTCTCTATGAAACTTCTCAGATAACACACCATAGGACATGATGAATTAACTAGTGGAAAAACTAGACTCCAACATGATTCGGGGCCGCTTCTTTTTTTAAGATGCCTTGGGGTGTTTCATAGGGCTCTATTTTCGTTCACGCCGGTGAGGCGGCGGAGGGCGGCGAGCCCCGCGCAGTTGTATTTTCGTCTGGCGGAGCCCGGCGTAAGGCGAGTTTGGTATTTTCGTGGACTGAGTCGCACGGAGGCGAGCCGAGATCCGCCAAGCTGGGCGTGGTGGCGTGGCAGGGGGAGGTGTTGACAGAATCAGCTGGCGCAGTGACATTTTCATGCTCGCCACCGGCGTGTAACGTGCGCTGAAAGCTCGCCGATTCAAACCTGGTCAGTTTTCAGCGCAAGGCGGAACGCAGCTGGTCTAGTAGTATTTTGGTAGACCGGCGGGGTATCGACATACGTCACTGATGCCTCACCAGCAGGTTTCCACAGTGTCAGGCACATTTCAGTGCAATAAATAATCATCAACAACTATTAATCTGAGTCAGCACATACATTTAGATCTATATCGATATATTCTGATCTATATCTGATCTGATGAGCGCGTTTGGCACGCGTTTGGCACGCGTTTGGGCACACAACCTGACCGAATCAATACAGCTGAAACTGCATCAAATTAAATTAAATATCTAATAAATAGACACACGATGAAGTTAACAAGATATGTAATGTGTCTCCCTCCTTTTCTTTCTTCCTCTTATTTCTCGCACACGCGTCTCCGTGTCCTCTGTCCGTCTTGCTGCAGCTGCTGCGGCTGAACAGATGATTTGTTTCAGTGCTCAGATGCGTTATCTACTTTAAGCCCGACATACGGATATTATAATATTCAGTTTTGTGGGCCACATTTATTTTATATGCCAACATCTATGAAAGAAAGAGCCAGGCCACGGAGCGCGATGCGTCGTTTACGCACAGATGGTTCCGATTTTAATGCCATTTTTGGAGTTTATGTTGTGATCTGTGCGCTAAACCCACCTTTGTCACGTGAGGTTTGAATATATGCAACTTTATGTGAGTGTCTTTTTTGTGGAAAAGGGTGTTTGTCTTACCAGTGGGTCCAACATTACGCACACCAAATCTATCTGTGCTCAGATGTGAGAGTGTGGAGGACACTTGTTGAGCAGCTGCCCTCTGTCGCCATCGTGTGGCATAACTGTCTTCAGACATCTCTTGATCTCTTTGACTACGTCATGAAAATAGTAATACGCCTCGCCGGTGGCGGATTTAAAGGCAAGGAGAGGAGCTTATGTGATTGGTGAAAACAGGTCTCGGCTGTGTTAAACCCCCTATACGCCCTCTCTCCTCCCCGTCTACGACTTATGCTGCCGGGAGGAGCTGAGTTAGGGAGGGGGGATACTTACGCCGGGCTGCGCGGCTCACCAAAATACCAAAATGTGCTTGGGAACGCCTTGTCAGCGCGGCAGATCTGATTGACGCTGCGCTTGCGGCACGTCTTCGGCGAGGCACCAAAATAGAGCCCTTAGAGATATCCTGAGAAACTTCTATGGTATGTGTTTGTTGGGTCTTCTTACCTGTTTCCTGGTTCCTGGCCCAAATGGTTGTAGCGATTTGAATTTATAATAAATGTGCTAAAATAATATAATTAAATTATGACATTTATGCACTCGTTGAAGGGGCACCACCCACCTTTTTCTGGTGGGAAAAGGACAAAAACAAAGTTTAATTGAGTAATCAAACGTTGAATCAGTCTAACAGATTTAAATCAATCTCACATCTGAGGCCGGAATTCTTATTTCAGGGACTTTGCTTCTGGAAGGACCACTAAGAGATGACACCTTAAAATTAAATGGATACTTTATTGACAAATGCAAGGTGATAACATAAATTCAATAAATGATGATCAAATAATGACAAATTAAAAGAACACCTAATGGATAAATGAAGGAGTAGTTTAAATTGAGCTAAGACTGGAGGTTAACAATAGTGAGTGAATAAGGAAAAATTTAACCTACATTAACAGGGTTGCGAGGATAAATTTATAAGAGGAATTTGGAGAAACTAAACTAGTCGGCGAGAAGTTCTCCGCCGACACTGGATCTGATGTTTCACCAGAGCACACTGCAAAGGCGCCCTTGGATAGCTTAGCGTTCCTGTCTCTCAGAACCGTTTGGCAAACGCATGCGTTCAAGAAAAATGGGCATGGCTTCATCCAAGTTTCAGGAAAAGTCTGAAAACTTAAGGCGAATAAAAAAAACAAGGGGAAAAATGGACGGGGACAAAAATGCCAACATAGGGGAAAAACACAAGAGAGCAAGCGACGTAAGCTCAGCTCTTTTAAGCCGTTCACGTGGGGCGTGAACCAAAAGAGGGGGGCACTCGTGCACTCTTTGACCCAATGCAGGCCCATTGTCTGGCAAGCGAATTAAGGTCCTTTCACACCGGGACCGACGCAAATATACAACGCAAAATTACGAAATATTCGGAGGCGAATTTTGACACGCCTGACTATACACATCAAGCCCGATGTTAGGTGTTGTGAATAGGTGGACCCAGAGCAGAGGCTGAATCAGATCAGGATTTCAACAAACAGTGATTTTTATTTACATGTGAGTAAAAAATGAACAAAGCAATGATGGTGGTGGTGGCGGGAGCTTGTGGAGACCTGGAAAAAATGAGAAAGAGAGAAGGAGTTAGTCCAGGGGTAAAACGAGCATGAATCCACAACAGTCATCAAAAAATGAAGCACAAGGTAACCTCCGTGAGGGGAGAAGAGGCTTAAGGCCAGCACAAACGTAGTGAACAAACCACTTAGTCAGGCAATCAGCCGGCACTGAGAAGATTCCTCCCTGGGCTCTTGTAGGCAGGTAATCAGACCGGAATTAGCAGCAGGTGAGGTCTCCAGCAGGTGATCAGCTCCCGCGGTGCCACCCATGCAGGAAGTGAAGAGAGGGATCCTGAGCAGCCTACAGCGCCGCTCAGGCGAAGTGGATAAAGGGGGGAAGACAGCCCGAGAGGGGAGGGCAAAGAGGAGCAAAACTGGAGGACTGGGGACCAGTCCTCACAGTACCCCCCCCTCAACGGACGTCTCCTGACGTCCTACCCGGCTTGTCGGGGTGGTCATGGTAGAAGTCCCGGAGGAGGTTGCCATCAAGGATGAGACTGCGGGGGATCCATGACCTCTCCTCAGGTCCATATCCCTCCCAGTCGACCAGGTACTGGAATCCTCGCCCCCGCGGCCTGACGTCCAAAATCCGGGATACTGTAAACGCCGGATGGTCATCAATGAGTCGGGGGGGTGGAGGGGGCTCGGCCGGAGGGCAGAGCTCGCTGGTCTCCACTGGCTTGAGAAGAGAGACGTGGAATGTGGGATGGACCCTCAGGGAAGCTGGCAACCTGAGTCTCACGGCAGAGGGGTTAATAATCTTCTCCACCGGAAAAGGACCAATAAAACGAGGGGCCAACTTACTAGCCTCCACCTGGAGGGGCAGGTCCCGAGAAGATAACCACACCATCTGGCCAGGACGATACGAAGGAGCCGGTTGACGATGGAGATCAGCACTGCGTTTGGTTCTCTCAGTGGTAGCGGACAGAGCCTCTCGAGCCCTCCTCCATACCTCCTTCAGACGCTTAATGTGAGCCCCCACAGAAGGAACAGCGACCTCTCTCTCCTGTTCTGGAAACAACGGGGGTTGGTAACCAAAACAAACTTGGAACGGAGACATACCCGTAGAAGAACAGGAGAGGGCGTTGTGGGCGTACTCCACCCAAGGAAGATGGTTGCTCCAGGTAACTGGGTGATGGGCTGCGACGCAGCGTAAAGCACTCTTGAGGTCCTGATTGGCCCGCTCAGTCTGGCCGTTGGTCTGCGGGTGGAAACCCGAGGAGAAGCTGACTGCTGCGCCCAATGCCTGGCAGAAATCCCTCCAAACACGAGAGGCGAACTGGGGCCCACGGTCTGAAACAATATCCTGAGGGATTCCATGCAGTTTGAACACGTGAGTGATTAAAAGGTTAGCTGTCTCCCGTGCGGTAGGCAATTTAGGGAGTGGTACATAATGGACCATTTTGGAGAAGCGATCCACTATGGTGAGGATGACAGTGTTACCTTGTGAGGGGGGCAAACCGGTGACAAAGTCCACAGCAATGTGAGACCAGGGGCGACTGGGCACCGGCAGGGGGCGCAGCAGACCAGCTGGTGGCTTGTGGGAGGCCTTTCCCTGGGCACAGACTGAGCAGGCAGCCACGAACTCCCGAGTGTCTCGAGCCATTGAGGGCCACCAAAACCTCTGCCGGAGGAAAGACAGGGTGCGATTAATACCGGGGTGACAGCTTAGTTTGGAGGAGTGTCCCCATTGGAGAACCTCCGACCGAACGGAGATTGGGGGGACCAGTTCCGGGATCCGGATGACGTGTCTGGGCCTCCCTAACAACACGCTCCACGTCCCAATGAGCGGCACCGAGGATGCAGGAGGGAGGAAGGATGGAAGAAGGACCCTCAGGCTCCGATGGAGGGGAGAAGACCCGGGAGAGAGCATCAGGCTTGGTGTTCTTGGATCCGGGGCGATATGAAATGGAGAAGTTAAAACGACTCAGGAAAAGAGACCACCTGGCCTGCCTCGGGTTGAGCCATTTTGCTGTCCGGAGATACGCCAGGTTCTTATGGTCCGTCCAGATCAAAAAAGGCTTCTCCACGCCCTCCAGCCAGTGTCTCCACTCTTGTAGAGCTCCCACCACCGCTAAGAGTTCTCGGTTTCCCACGTCGTAATTTCGCTCTGCGGGGGAAAGGCGACGAGAAAAAAAAGCACAAGGGTGCAGCTTGTAGGTAGTTGGGTCTCGCTGGGAGAGGATAGCACCGACGCCGGAGTCAGAGGCATCCACCTCCACCACGAACTGTAGAGAGGGGTCAGGGTGCAGGAGTACAGGGGCAGAGGTGAACAATGTCTTGAGGTCCTGGAAGGCGCTGTCAGCCTCGTCTGACCAACAGAAGGGGACCTTGACAGAGGTGAGCTGAGTGAGAGGTTTAGCTACGCTACTGTAGTTACGAATAAATCTACGGTAGAAGTTAGCAAAACCTAAAAACCGCTGTAACTCCTTACGGGTGGTAGGGGTGGGCCAACTGATCACAGCTTGGATCTTGCAAGGGTCGGGGCGTAACTGACCAGCCTCTATGATATAACCTAAAAAACTGACTCTGGACGCATGAAACTCGCATTTCTCAGGCTTTACATAGAGACGGTTTTCTGAGAGACGCTGGAGAATGAGACGGAGGTTCTGACGATGATCATCTTGATTCTTGGAGAATATCAAGATGTCATCGAGGTAAATGAAAACAAACTTATTCAGCACGTCCCGGAAAATGTCATTCATAAATGACTGAAAAACTGCCGGAGCATTGGTGAGACCAAAAGGCATCACCAAATACTCAAAATGTCCCATGGGTGTGTTAAAGGCAGTTTTCCATTCATCTCCCTCTCTGATCCGGATGAGATGATACGCGTTTCTAAGATCAAGTTTGGAGAAGATCTTAGCATGACACAGGGGCTCAAATGAGGGATCGATAAGAGGAATGGGAGACTTATCTTTAATGGTTATGTCATTAAGACCACGGAAATCGATGCACGGCCGAAGTGAAGAATCCCTCTTACCCACGAAGAAAAAACCCGCCCCTACGGGAGACGAAGAAGGCCGAATTAACCCGGAAGCCAACGACTCGGAAATGTAAGTCTGCATGGAATCCTTCTCTGAACGAGACAGGTTGTAAAGTCGGCCAGAAGGTAAGGGGGCGCCAGGGAGCAGGTTAATCGCGCAGTCGTAAGGACGGTGCGGAGGCAGTGTCTTAGCCAGATCTTTACTAAATACCTGTGCTAAGTCATGATAGCAAGAGGGTACCGAAGAAAGATCAGGAGGTGCCGGTGTAACCGAAGGAGGGTTAACGACTGCCGACTGCAAACAAAAAGAGTGACAATGAGTGCTCCAACTGACAATAGAGGACGTGACCCAGTTAATGTGAGGACTATGCAGTTTAAACCAAGGCAGCAGGAGAATAAGTGGGGAACAGGGAGACGAAATGAAAAAAAACTTAATTTTCTCGGAATGATTACCGGAAAGTAGTAAGGTGAGGTGAACTGTCTCAAATTCAACCTCCGAAATGACTCGACCGTCCAATGCCAGAACCTGTTTAGCCTGAGAAAGCGAGTTAGTGGGAATATTGTGAGCTTTAACAAAGGCCTCATCAATAAAATTATCATCCGCGCCAGAGTCAAGAAAAACTGAAGTCTTAATAACGGAGGAGGGAAAACTAAGAGAGGCAGGAAACGTGGACCTGGAAGAAGGGCTTCTGGGGGTTGATAGCCGACTCACCATTACGCCCTTGCTTAATGATGAGTCCTGTCTTTTAACAGAAGGGGGCAGGACTGAAGGGAATGCTCCGCTCCTCCACAGTAAAGGCAGAGATTCTCCACTCTCCGTCTTCTTCTCTCCCTTAGACTCAGCCGAGTCTTGCCCAGCTGCATGGGCTCCTCCGAGTCAGCAGGGGGAGCAGTAGCAGGTGGCGTAGGTGCAGGTGGAGTAAGTTGGCCTAGAGTAGGGCGAGCAGTGGAAACCACATGACCAGAAGGGGGAGTCTGACGGGGAGCACTAGCAGCCCTCTCCCTGTCTCTCTCTCTCAATCTACCGTCTATTTTAATCGCTAGATCAAACAGTTCCTGTAGTGAGTCTGGCTCATCCCTAGTTGCCAATTCATCCTTCAATTCCTCCGAAAGCCCCTTGACCCTTGCCTTTAATGCAGCCTCATCCCAACCACACCTCCCAGCCAAAATTTGGAAATCGACCGCAAAGCTAGCCACCGATTGACCCCCCTGAGATAATGCCAGGAGCTGTTTAGCAGCATCTTGGCCCAGAACCGGGTGATCAAAAACCCTACGTAGTTGGGCTTTACCCCTAAGGAGATTAATGGTATAAGCAATTTTGGCCTCATCGGAGGCATAACTGTAGGGCTGGAGCTTAAACACAAGGCTACAATTAAACAAAAAACGGCTACAGGACCCAAAATCACCCGAAAATGGCTCAGGGTGTGAAACAAACGGTTCTTTAAAATGAACCGAGTCTGGAGAGAGAGCGGCAGGGGGAGAAGCCGGCGCGGCACTCACCGCAGTAGCAGGGGGGCCTCTGGCCTCAATCAGCTGAGCGCTAATCTGTTGCATTTGGCGAGTCATCTCCTCCAAAGTTCCAGTCACTCCCTTGAGAAGCGAATCATGTTGTCCCAAAAGTGTTCCATGTGACACCAGAGCGTCCTTGATTTGATCCAACCTCGCGGACTCCATAACGAGGCCGGCTGATTCTGTTAGGTGTTGTGAATAGGTGGACCCAGAGCAGAGGCTGAATCAGATCAGGATTTCAACAAACAGTGATTTTTATTTACATATGAGTAAAAAGTGAACAAAGCAATGATGGTGGTGGTGGCGGGAGCTCGTGGAGACCCGGAAAAAACGAGAAAGAGAGAAGGAGTTAGTCCAGGGGTAAAACGAGCATGAATCCACAACAGTCATCAAAAAATGAAGCACAAGATAATCTCCGTGAGGGGAGAAGAGGCTTAAGGCCAGCACAAACGTAGTGAACGAACCACTTAGTCAGGCAATCAGCCGGCACTGAGAAGATTCCTCCCTGGGCTCTTGTAGGCAGGTAATCAGACCGGAATTAGCAGCAGGTGAGGTCTCCAGCAGGTGATCAGCTCCCGCGGTGCCACCCATGCAGGAAGTGAAGAGAGGGATCCTGAGCAGCCTACAGCGCCGCTCAGGCGAAGTGGATAAAGGGGGGAAGACAGCCCGAGAGGGGAGGGCAAAGAGGAGCAAAACTGGAGGACTGGGGACCAGTCCTCACACCCGATACGATTTTGCAACTTTCCGGGGGGAAAAAAGATGCATCCCGGGTGGAAGCGGGAAGACTGACACAACACCAGACTGACTGTTTTTCAGTTCTGATAAGACACTAGTGTTGAGATGGCTGTCTGTCATGATAGCATGTACTGAGTTTGGGCCAGTACCAGATAAGCACATTTAAGATTGTATGTGATTTGATAAATGTAGGGTAACAACTGAGACCTAATGGCGCTGTGACAGCAACGCGATTGAGTTTGAGACAGTGAAAATACAAAGGGTTTGTTGTATCTGAACAGGTTAGCTTATGAGCTAAAGTTACTTAGCACAGATGAAAGTTAAAATAAAGACGTTAAGCAAACTGTTGAAGCACACAAACTATCGTCAAATGAGAAATCCGACGCTATAACTCTCCACAAGTTGTCCTTCACGTCGTTATTTTTGTAATGTTTGTGTCTTTTATCAAAAAGCACTCTGTTCTCCAACACGTAAACAATCAGCTGGTCGGCCATGTTGGATATACTTGTGAATCAGATTTTGCAACAACATGCAATCTGATAGGTCAGAAGTGCACACACAGTATGCGAAACTTTAGAAAAATCAACAGTGATCCGAAAAATAAATGCCGCAATATCGCAAGACGGGAAAACGTCGCCGATGTGAACGCTTGTATTGACGGGTTAAAAAAAAATATTGACGTCCGAAATATCGCACAAAGAAAATGGTCCCGATGTGAAAGGACCTTTAAACTTAACTTGCGATATTAATAAGCGAGTTAGATCTAATTTACTCACTCACTATGATTAATGCCGTTTATCAAATCACATACAATCTAGTTTCACCTTATTAAATGTAAAGCAACTTTAATCAGCCGTTTCCCTGATAATCTATAACCTGAGGATTAACAAACTCCTTGAAAATTAGAGAGGGATAGAAAACCAAAAGAAACACATACATGATAACACTTAATTAAAATATAACCTTGTCAATCTATACTTAGTCAATGATTAAAATATATATTCTGGTGAGGTAGATAAAACATAGCAATCAAACGTTTAAAACACTCTTAACTCAAGTATAAAATAGTTTTCAGTTACTATTTCTAATATTGCTAACCTATTTTGAGAATACCATCCACTAAGCTAAAAAGTATATAACATGCAACATAATTAAATTCAAGGAATACGTATTTGGATTCTGACCAAAACCATATTCAGAAAAACACCACTTGGAGGAGCTCTTGGTTTATGAAAAACCTGGAATTAATTTGTGAAGTTAACAGTTTGGCTTGTAGACATGCTAGACAAATGCGACAAAGACTGTTTCACTGCTGATGTGGTGTACAGATCCTGGTGATGTGTCCATTAAACCTGAAATTAAACCATTTGCAGTTATTCTCTTCATTCTGCACCTAAAGAGAGTCACTCAGAGAATTTATGGCAGGGATCTGTTTCAGGGATGGGTGCCCCAAATGCATTCTTGGGTTTGAGTTCTCATGATCTCTGGGTCATTCTTAAGGTTGAGGTGTCAACTATGAGCTATCCCAGCCAAGGTGAGAAGGTGAATGTTTATTCGGTCTGGGGGTCCTGTTGTTGAAAGGCGCTATATAAAACTAAGTTATTATTATTATTATTATTATTATTATTATTATTATTATTATTATCATTATTGTTGATCAGCAATTTTGTCTCTTTGAAGTGTAAAAGATTCACTATCAGCCTTTTGGGAGAGAGCCTCTCGGTTCTTTCCAGGGGATCGCGAAAGGCCATAACTTTGGTGTGGAAAGTTACTCCCAACTCCCCTCCTGATCTTTGAGGGTGAATTGAAGGTGAAAAAACAGAAACCAGTCGTCTCCTGTTACATGGTCCAGCTGTTTGGTGCCCTACAGGTCACAGGCTAAAGTTAGTTTTAAACCAGGTGGTAGAGGAAGATAAACTAGAGGTCAGGATATGACAATTAAAAGGAGCTACACCTCTAAACTCTATATAACAGGAGCACAACCTAAGATCTGAGAGAAGGACATCATTGGCAGTCGTCTCCCAGCATCCTAGTGCTTATTTGATACTGGTGTTGTAATGTTGTAATAAATTTCTATTGTACAAGCAAGCCAGTGTCACAAAGTCTCCTTCTGCATCTACACATCACGGACAGTCAAGAAAAATCCCCCCTTACAGAAGTATTAGTTCTTGTTGAAGCAGTGTTCATTTTGGCAGATTTGCTGGATTTAGTCTCAGTTTTTGGGCCAAAATACTTTTCAGGCTTAGTCACATTTTAGCAGAGCTGGGCAGTTAATTGGACTTTAATTCCAATGATGATTTTGGCTTCCCACAGTTATAAAAAAAATATGCATTATAATGGAGATTGAATGATTATTGTACTGCCTGCTGTGCTGCCCTTGTTACATCCTATGTTATGAAAACACACCCTCCCTCGAAAAGGATCAATCCTTACTCAAAGCCTGTCTTTCTGTGGCCACTGTGGAAGTATTTCTTTTCTTTGACTTTTTCTTCTTCAAGGATGAAACCAGATCTGGACATGGATAACAGCAGTAAAAATAAAATGGAAACATACAGTTTTAAACTGCTGTTGCCCTTGTAGTTGGTTGAGTGTGTATCGATATTCATCAGGAAAAGTTTGGGAATGAAAATGAATGAGAAGCATGAAGGCAGAAAGGATTAGTACCCACAGTGCACTTGTTTAGATGAGGGACAAAATGAAGACTTTCTCCTTTGAGGAACTCAGCCTGTTTCATTTAGCGTTGATTTGATGTGCTCTGAGAAAATCTGATGAATTTTAAACTTCATGCAGCATCTCTTGGAATAAACTGACTCGGGGAGGAATTTTAGCTGTTTTTACCAAGCTCCTTTATTGTGACTGTGGTAGTTTTTCCTTTAAATGGGACTTGACTTTGAGTCTAACTGAAATAATAAAACTCCTGTCCTGGCAACGCAAACAATCTCCCCGTGCTTCAACCCCACACAGAGTGACCTTGTATTGATCATTTACAAGTCTTAAATTTGTTGAAAATGAAGAGGAAGGTCTCTGTGACTCTAAGGAACTAAACTTAGAAATCTGGGTTAAAAAAGAAAGAAACACCGGAGAACGTAAACAGGAAGCCTCGATACCTTGACGGGAACTGAAGAACACACTCTCTACTCCCAGAGACCACAACACGTCCCACTCATGTTTATCCATGGGGAACAGTCAGATATACTCAGACAACACTTCAGAGACTGCAGTGTGTGTGTGTGTGTGTGTGTGTGTGTGTGTGTGTGTGTGTGTGTGTGTGTGTGTGTGTGTGTGTGTGTGTGTGTGTGTGTGTGTGTGTGTGTGCACCTCATCGCCTCCCATGCTGACATATTTAAATATATTCATGGCAAGTCAGTCAAGTTATCTGGGAGAAGTGGAGCGCTCAGGGCGGTTCAAGAACATATCGGCACATTCAAAAACACCAGCCAAAAAAGAAAAATTCAGACATACATAGAAGAGCAGATATATACTGAATACCTTCGGGTTTTTCAAGGAATGAAGCTTCCTCTCAGACTGAGGTAGACAAATGTGTAAAAGGCCTGGGGCTTTCTCAGGAGTACAGCAGAAGGTCAATATCATGCATGATGGCTGCGAGTTCTGGCCCTGCAGCCTCAGCTTGTCAGATTTCATGCTCTCTTCTTGTCTGTCTGCCATCCCAGTGGAGACCTGAGGTCCACTGGACATGGCTGTGGAGTTTGTTTGTGAGGCTTTTGTATTTTGTGAAATTCACTAGGGGTTTTTGCAATGAAAATGAGTATTTTTAATATTTGATGCATTATGCATGATTTGGTTTACTAATCCTCTTGATCATCAAATCGTGTTCATATACTATAAACTGGCATTAGAAATTGCAAAAAACAATCAGTGAAACAGCCTCTGTAAAGGAAAGATATTCAGAGACAATGGCCCTTATATACCAAGCTTGCGTACGGCAGAAAACTTGTGTACACCTTGCGTACGAAATTTTTGACGTGAGGATTGGCATTTATCAATCTGCACGTGAGTGTACGCTATGACCAGATGTCACGACAGGTCTGACATCGTGTACGCAAGTTTGGGTCAGTGTGGATCTGCGGTGCAGCAAATGTCTGTCTCAAAATAATTGATAAACAAACCTCAAACCTGTCATTAAGCACTTTCAGCCAGATCTCATTTAAGATTCAGACGTAAATAATATAAAGTAAAATAAAATAAAATAAATTTGTTTTAACATTACGCACACACACACACACACGCTCCACTGTGGAGCGCTGCGTTTGACTCCTAAAAGGCAGGTGTCTCTGTCTTGGCCCAGCAGCAGGGACGTTGTTGTACACTCCTGAAAGGGTGTGGGACATCATTTGGGCCAGTGCAGTTTTGCACAATGTTGCACTGGTGAATGGAGAGCCGTTGGCTGTGCCGGTGCAACGTGAGGACCCAATGCCCGGAGAATATTAATGAGGAGAGACTCCACAAAGGTGCTGTACAGAGGAGACAGGATTCTGATGTAAAGTATAAGTTTAGAAAGTGCTCTTGCTATTTAATCAGTGATAAAAAAAATCCAATAGAAATCCATAAAAATGTGCCTCAGGGGCAGCGACACACCATTTGGTGACGTTAATAATAATTTTTGTTCAGCCTCTGTCAGACTCTCCAGTCTGCTCTACATTACAAAGAAGCAACAAATTAAAACTAAATACTTTCAATAATAGGAGTAATGTACCCTATGTCAGGGCAATAAAAAAATATGAGGCATGTATGAGATATTA